ATTTGGGGCAATTATTGTTTCAATCTATCGCTGGAGGGGGTAATTAATGGAAGTGGGGTAACTATTTAAGGGAGGGCAATTAATACAGGTTATACTGTAGTTGATAAAAAATAAATTTTGATCAAAATTCTGCTAATTGACTCTAATTTCGTTTTTTTCAAAAGTCTGATCCTTAAATAAATTTTTAACATAATTAAGAAAAATTTTAATAATTTTGGTCATTGTAAACTCCGTTTTTTTCTCATTTATAATTTTTAAAAAAATTTTTAAATATGAAAAATAATATGTATTTACTTTTATATTCCTCATTTAATAATTGTCCAATTTTTTCTTTTTGAAGATTAAAAAATCTATGAATACTATAATCTTCCTTTTTATTAGCAGCATAACTAATAGCTCCGATTGCATCTTTAAAATCATCACTAACATTACCTAATATATCCTTTTGTATTTGTAATGTTGTGGAAAGTAATAACTCCTTTTCTGTCAAAATAAAATTAAAAATAAATTGTTCGGATGGGTTCTATTGTAAAAACCCGGTAATGTTACCCCCAAGCCTACCCTAACAGATAAGGCATATATGAAAATGATCATTAGGTGTTAGCAGTTGCATCGCAGATTGCATAGATCTCTTAGATCAAGTCACATCCAAACCTTTTGCTATCTTCAGGGAGTTTTCGGCCATTTTACTCTAGTCTAGATTAAAAACCGAGTCGAGATCTTTTTAAAAATCTCGACTATCGATATCCTAAATTTCCTAAATATCAATCTCTGTTAATCTTCAAGAGTTTTAGTTAACATAGACACTAGGGATTGCTTTTACCTTCACTAAAGTATGCCTCCTCTTCTCCGGATATTTTCATAAAAATTGTTTAAAAAATATGTATGTATACATAGGTAAATGACATTTTAAATTCTAAATTTATAAATTTTGATTCTTACTTTTATTGTAAAAGTTATCATTTCCCTTATCATTTCCTCCAGATGTTGAATAATTTTTTGGATGATCTGAATCAGTTGTCGCGGGTTGAGAAAAGGAGTTTGATCGGATCTCGGGTACAAAAAAATCTTTGAAAATCGAAATAGAAATAAAAGAAACGTCGAAAATCGAAATTTCGACGCAGCTCTGGTCGGGTCTACCTAAATTTTTGAAGTTTTAGTTTCAGATTGAATTTGGATCGGGAAAATTCGGGAACCCGCGACAACCTTGATTAAATGATGAATTCATTGAAAATTGTTCATTTCTTTGATTCCAACTTCCCATTCCTCTATTCGAAATTAAAGATGAGGATCCTTCAGATTTAGAATAATTTCTTCTCAAATTGCCACTATTTACTTGCTGTAATTTTTAAATATATATTTTTATCTTATACAAAATTTTTTTGAAAATAAAATTTTTTAAGAGCCTCTATAGTATTGTTTGACCATTAACAAACCCGAATTTACTTAACGGGGACTCTGGTTCGTTGCCCGGCGGCAATTGATTGCTACTTTAGTTTAGTATGTATATTAAAGATTATGGGTGTTGATACCGATACCGAGGCAGGTATCGGCTTTGGATACCGATAAAATAACGATTTTATGTAATGGCCTTAATATTACTATAAACTTATTTTTTATTAAAATTCGACACAGCTCGATTGTTCTACATTTTTTGTTGACTGTCATTTTTACATATTTTCAAAAAAATTACTGGGGGGGGGGGGGGATAAATAGGTAAGTACCGTCTTTTCCATTAGCTTTTTTAAAACTTCATTTCGGGTCCACAAAACTCGGTCCTCCGCAAGTGCGTCTCTGTAAGAGTTGGTCCGCAAGTGCAGGTCCGCAAAAGTCAGCTAACCAAATTCATGTATTTGATTTACACCAAAAATATAAATACCTAATCCGTTCTCATTTCCGGAAAGTTTATTTTAATGAAATTACTTTGGATGTAATGGATCAAGTTAGATAGGAACAAAGGTGGGGGTATAAATTTTTGAAATAAGTAGTTAATATAAACAAATTATTACCCTTTTTCCCTCTTGATTATTACGAAAAAGGTTTTTAGCAATATTTCCTAATTCCCTTCCTTTAGGAGGTGCTTTGCAATAATTAAAGAAAAGACAAATAATCAAAAAATTTAACATTAATAATAAAAAATAATTTTTATTTTTCATTTTTTTCAGGTAATCTGAAGAGTCAAAAAATTTAAAATTTTTTAAAGGGGAATTTTTAAAGGCGAATTTAGCAATTAAAAAATTAAATTAAAGGCACTCTCATAAATGGAGAGAAAAAATGGCGTCTGGCGAATGAATTCGCCATTTGCATTTTTTAGCGGCAAGACTGCCATATAAGATTCAAAAATAAATAAATGTATTTTGTAAAATCTTGAAATGCTCAAACTACAATATTGCCTGAGTCTGTCGGCTTTGACAAAAAATAAAAAAAAATATTATAGCCGCCGGATTTTACAAAATTGGCTTTAGAGAAAATTTAAAAATTCGATAACCAATATTATTAATCAACTAATAAAGGGCAAATAAATAAATAAAAATAAATTCACTAACAAATTATGGATGTTAAGTTGCCTTTTAATTTTTTTAAAAGTTTTTATTGAGAAATACAGACATGGTCATGGAAACGGATATGGATACAGATAATACCAAAATGCCTGCGGATATCCGCCTGTATCCGCAGTAAATATCCGGATATGGATAGCAAAATTTGTATCCGTGTCCTAGTCTGGAGAAATATAACCTAGCTAGGTAACTTACTCTCTCTAATAATTACCTCCACTCTCGATTACATAATTGCCCTTTTCCAATTAATGACGTCTTCAGTTTATTAATATTTTCCTCCAGACGGGAGGTTAAGAAAATAATTACCCATTATAATTATTCAATAATTAGCCTCGAATTTGTTTTCTAAATATTGTATACGATGTTCATGCTGTAGAAAATTCATTGGATGGGAGATGGAATAGAACCGCGCATCCGACTGGCCGCCATCCAACCAGAGTTGGGTCGGAATTCCGATTTCCGACGTTTTTTTCATTCCAATTTCCGATTTCCGACACCTCTAATTGTTCCGACGCACCTCTGCATCCAACCCGATGCTGGGTTATTTATTTTCATTTATATTCTTTCTGCAAGTATGGAAACAAAACTAGTAAATAAATCAGTTTAACTGATAACAATAAGTTACAACCATCAAAAAACAGTCACGACAAATGAGAACATCTAATCGGTGATGGTGGAATCTTAATAATAATAAGACACTTTCTTATCTTTCTTTCATTTTTAAATTCAATTTTAAAATAAATTTCAAAAAATTATTTTTTTAATTTTAAAATTTCCCCCCATTTTTAAAAAAATATAGGTAAATCGTTAAAACGCTTAAATGAAAGGGAGAACACTAAAAATTTTTAAATACACACTATTTATTTATTATTTGTTTGTTCTTCTCTTCCCTACAAAAAACTCTTGATATTCGCTGAATCAAAAATAAAATATGAGTCATTTAATTATTTTATATTTAAGCAATAAAAATTTTATCAAAATTATTTTAAATGTTTAAAAATTATTTTTTTCGTTTAAACACTATGTTAATTTATATTTTTGTTTGTTTCTATCAGACGTGGTAATGGACATGGATTTTGGTACCCGCATCCGGATATTTACGGCGGATACAGACGGATATCCGCAGGCATTTTGAACTTATCTGTATCCGTATCCATTACTAAGCTTGGTTTCTACAGCCCAGAGATGCCACGGGTTAAGGAAAAAATCGCAATCCGTAAAGTTTTATAAAATTTTTAGGATCAGAGTTCGGGTTATGGGCGGAAAGAAGTCCGGATATCAGTTTCGAGTAAACAATGTGGCATCTTTGTTACATTCGTGTCGGTCATAGACCATACCTTCATTCGGTTCTCCAACTTTTGCGCCTCGACATTTGCGTCACCCTGACTTGAAAAATAAAAAATATGATTAACAGCACAACTGTGCGCCAAAATTTCCGTGTGTAGAGGGTAAGAGGGCTGACTAAGCGAACCTCCAATAGGTAATGTGTTCAACTCATTTTTACTATAAATTTTTTCATCTCACGAAAATTTTTTCATACGTAAAATTAAAATTCGGTTGTATTGGAGACTTTGAGTATCAATTATGAGAATAATATTGTAATTATTACCCTCGTATAATTTATTCAATTTTATTTACAATATTTAAAACACAAATATACATATATAGGTAATTATGGGTTTAGCCGTTGTCATTTAATAAATGAAACTGGAGTTTGGCTGTTATAAAGATGATTCATCTGGCAGCATTTAAAACGTTTAGACGTGGGTAAATGTTTTTAAGAGAATAGAGAAATCAAAAATTTTAGCAGCGTTTGCAAATGTTTAAGTGAGGGTTATTTTGTTAAACTCTATTTATAAGGGAAATTACTAGAGTGCAGAAAAATTTTTTCAGAATTTTGAACGGGACAGGATCCCGCAAAATCCCGTTCGGGATCCTGTCCCGTCCGAACTCTAGTAATTACTGGCCAAACAGATTCTATAAAAGTAGCGACATTTTACAAAAACAGTTGTCAATCTTATTTAACTTCTTAATAACAATACCATAAATTATCGTTTTATTTGGTTTTTGATCATCATTACCCTTTGATAATTAGTTTTAGTTGTTTTTACAAACCTCCATTCATTTAAATTTAAAAATTCTGCTAAAAACATAACGCCAAAATAATTTTATTTTTTGACATTTGCTCCCAATTTGTCAAAATTTATTTCCTAAATTTTTTTAATTGTTTAGTCTTTGTTTTTAGAGGTCGGAACGGACGGAATCCCGGGTTTTCAGCAAAAAACGGGATTACCTGGATTTACGGAATTAATCCCGCGGGATCCCGTCCCGTACAAAATGTTGAAAAAATGTGATTTTACCGACCTCTGTTTGTTTTTCAGATTTTTCTAATTATTCTTTTCTTCATTTATAACTTCTTATACTTCCTAAAACCAACAAAAAATGTGTATTTCCAAACTCGGTCAAACAATTTATGGGGTTTTGGCTTTAACTATTGTTGCTTTAACTTTGGCTTCAATGTTTACCCCAGGTTTATTACCTAAAAATTTTTTGATATTTTTATTTTTTCTTTTAGGTTGGCGCAAAATAAATGCAGAAGTGAAAGAAGGCGAAGACCGCAGCAAAATAATTAATCAAACAATTTCTTTGGGAATTTTCCCTTTCTCGTGCGGGTGGGAGTTGGGGAAATCTGAGTTGCATTTGAATAAGTCGGAGACTGATGCTAATTGTCAAAAGTGGTGGGAGGTATGTTTTTGTGTTTTTTGTGTTTATCTGCGGATCTGACCTAAATCAAGGTCTGAAATCCTGTAAAGAACTAGCAAGCTCAAACGTCTTGGTTCTGGGTACGGGAAAGACCCATGCCCAACCTGACCATTTTTGGGGTAACTTCCAAGGGAAACTTTATAGCAACCTCAAAACATGACTTGACTTTGAGAGCAGGAAGGACCAAGCTCGATCTATATTTGGATACCTTCCAATTATTTTTTGGCTACCTTCCTACCGCAGCCCAACCTACCGCCGAGGCTATAACTTTTTTCAGAATTGTCGAATCCGGGACGCCTTGGTATGGTTCGGTACGCCTCGACGAGCTGAATCCAACCATACCAAGTTGTCTCAGATTCGACAATTTTGAACGAAGTTATAGCCTCGGCGGTAGGTTCGGCTAGGTAGATCGGTAGGTTCGGCTCGCGGTAGATTTTAACCTTGAAATTTTAAAAAAGCCTAGCCCTAAAACTTTTTCTCTCAAAAAACTTTGTAGGAGAACTTCTCCCCATTGGAATTCTTCCCTAGCTAAAAAATCTTTATTTTTCAGAATCAACCAACATATGAGAAATTTGTTTTGGTATTTATGATTCTTGCCCTTCTTTGTTCTATTGCTGCCTTTATTTGGAATGCTTTGACATTTTGTTGTTGTATTGGGAAAGGTTTTTTTTGTGAGGATTTTTCTAAAAAAATATTTTTTGTAGGAGGAATTTTCCGTCCATTGCCTTCATTGGCATCTGCTTCAGCATTTCTTCTTTTATTTGCACTAGTCATCTATTACTTTAACAACGATAAAGATATTGGTATTTTTTATTTAATTTTGAAGTTTTGGGGTACTTTATGGATATTCCTCCGTCACCTTGTTTGAGTCTCAAAGTTACTTTCTATTTTTCCCTCAATAATTTCTGCCCGAGCAGTATAGGGGAAGGTGCTTAAATGAGGAAGTCTGACCCTAATATGTATAGCCTAAAAAAGGAAAGAATAACTCGGACTCAAACTAGGAGGGGGGAGGGGGAGAGGATATTCATAAAGTACCGAGTATTTTTATTATCTTAATGGCCTCTAGGCAGCTTTTAATAGTAGTAAGTAGCTTCCCTAGCTTTCCAAACGATACCCTCTATTTAATTTACCCCTCATTACAAGAATTAATTTTTTAAGCCCAAGGGGATACAATGAAAGCCTTATATAATGTCACTCTTTAGTCTTCTGAATTTGCCGACGTTAGAGAGAAAATGACTTGAAGGGACGTCAAATCTAGCAAAATATGAAAGGAGGACAGTTAAGGAAAGCTTCCACTATTACCTTTTAATTTTTGTATTTAATTATAAATTTATTTTTTTCAGAAGTTTTAAAAGCCTGGGACAATATCAAAACAATTGAAGACAACGATATTAGCTACAGTTTCTTCTTGGCACTCGGGGCATTTGTTTTGTGCTTGGTTAATTGTCTGGTAGGCTCTGTTGTTATGTCCGCAGCGGAAAAGTGTTGTTAATTGGAAAAATAAATTGAAAAAATAAATTTAAATATTAACAGAATAAAAAAATATTTTTTTAATCTCTAAGGGATCGGAATTTAAAATTTTTTTTTAATTTCCAAAAAATATTTCGATCCCGATTTTCTTAATTACATATTACTAAAAATGTTTTAATCCCTTTAAAATGACCTTCCTTCCCTCTCTTTGTTAATTAAAATATAATTTGTATAATTTATTTTAAATATTTTTGTCTATTAAAAATTAATTTTGTTTTTTATGTATTTAAATTTAAATAAAATTTGCCAAATGTTGGACAAAAAATATCATCGCCCACGAGGCAAAACCCCGCGCGAATCGTAAGTTTAGTTCAAAAAATGACAAAGAAATGGGTAATTTTTGCTTTTACAATCTTAATTTTATAAGCCAGATAACTTTTTTAACTTATTTTATGCGCATATTTCACTGTTTTTACTTGCATATAAATTCTAGTCTTAGTTATCACTTGATAAACAAAAAGCGACATTTTTTATGAAACGACATATTGGTACATATAGAACAAATAAATAAAAAGAAATTCCCGAAAGAAAGGAAGTGATAATTTCAATCTTTGCAACGAAGACAAAGATCAACAAGTGCCCCAGGCATCGATTTATGGAAAAAATCCGGATCTGTCAAATAAGCCATATAATTTAGCAAAAGACATTCATTGTTTCCACAATTGAAGCAGAATTCAATTAAATGAAGCAATTCTGCATATCTTTTAGCTCCTGCCAATGGTCCATAGCGATTCTGAAATAAATTATTTAAAAAACTAAATGCCACGTTAAACTTTATTGGTAAGATTTGGATAAAATAACGCTAAGTATTTCGAATTTTCAAAGAATTGTCGGGATTTGTTCCCAAAAGTTTCGAATATTTCAAATAAAGTCTTAACTTTGGGAAAATTAATTCTAAGGTAGCTCCCCGTTCCACGACCCCGATAATTGTTGGATTCTACATCACAAGCAGGGTGGACGCAAGAAACAATTGCAAAAAACGAAAACGAAAAGCAAGAACGCAAAACGCAAAAATGGGGAAAATTTTTTATCAGCCATTTTTCAATTAAAAATTGAAGGGAAAAATTCCGTCATAAGTCCCGGAAACCGATTCAAACAAACAATATGTCATTTGAAAGAGCTCGGCGAGCTGAGTCGAATGACATCAAAATTAGGTCCCGGTCTCACCCATGGACCGAGATATAGGCCCCCGAAAATCGAAAAATCATAGGGGGGACCAAGCTCAATTTTGTGATGAAAAATTCGATATACAAATAATAGCTCATTTGAAAGAGCTCTTCAAGCTGAGTCGAATGACACCAAAATCGCCGTGATTGGTCAAGTTTTTCGAAGTTATGACAAAAAAACAAACAACATGAACCTATGGGGCGGCGGCGAGGCGCTTGTGCAAAACTCCGCGCTTCGCGCGGAGTTTTGCGGCACGCGCCTCGCGGGGAGTCTACGGGCGATTGGTCTGGGCTCGTAACTTAATCCTATTCCAATTATCGCTGTGATGGTCATGCCCGGCTTCCTCCGCAGCAGCATGAACATCCACGGAGAACAAAGGTAAGGAGCTAAAAAAATGATCATAACTTTGTTAAATCAAATCAGATTTCGTTGATTTTGGTGTCTTTCGACTCAGCTCGAGGAGCTCTTTCGAATGGGCTATTATTTGCATTTTCGAATTTTTCACCCCAAAAAAGTGCTTGGTCTCCCCTATGGTTTTTCGATTTTCGGGGGCCTATATCTCGGTCCATAAGTGAGACCGGGACCTAATTTTGGTGTCATTCGACTCAGCTCGCCGAGCTCTTTCAAATGACATATTGTTTGTCTGAATCGGTTTCCGGGACGTATGACGGAATTTTACCAATTGAAGTATTCCTAAATGAAGTGAGTGCCGAACGATTTTATGATAAAGGGTTTAGATCGATACTGATTTAGAGGGATTAGTATACAGGGTGATTACTGAGAATATTAGTGAATTTGGAGAGATTAAGAGGGATAAGGAGGGAACAAAGGAACCGCGATAACACGATATTCTCTCCAAAGACCTATACAACTCCCCTCCTCCAATACCCAGTTAATCCAAACCTTTACCCCTTTTTGTAAGCGCTATATCACGCACAAATTTCTCGACTTCCCAACTTCATCTCTTTCCAACACCGAAAGCGAAAACTTTGAAAAGTTTATAAACAATTTAAAACACCTGCAACATTTTCATCAACATATCAGAATATTTCTCTGCCTCAGTTAGTAATAATTGTCGGCCATACTGACTTAAGCCAGTTGAGGCAAAATGTGATGAAATTATAGCGCGAAGGAGAACAAATTCTTCTTTGCTTAGTTGCAGTCTATTAAATGGTCCCACAGAATCGTCAAATAATTTTTTTACAAATTTGTTTATCCTAATACAAGATGAAGGATTAATCAAAAAATAAAATTTACGTCACGTCTTCTTTGTAAATATTTGCTTTGAAAACATTTCGAACTGGAAATTCATTCGGCATAACAACAATTTCAGATTTTTTTCTACTTGAATAATAGGCAGAATGGAATGTTTTCAGCGGCAGGGTAATTGTTGTGAGCAGACAAATCTTTATTAATTTAAATACTAAACTTCTAAACTTTCTTTTCTTAATTTCTACGGCTCCCCTACAAAGGATAGATGAATTAAAGGATAGATGCACTAAAGGATAGATACGGCCAAAAGCGATCAAAGGATAGACAGCTGAATAGGTCGTTTGAGTCTGGACAAAAATGTTTAATAATCTGAATCTTCGCTGGAAAAACTGTTTTTGTGCTGCTACGGAGGGTAGGCCGGGCATGGTCTTCGCTACACGATGGCCGTGCTTCGCTGCGGTCGTGCTCGCTTCGCTCGCGGCGACCGTAGCGAAGCGGCGGCCGTCGTTCCGCTCGACATGCCCGGCTTCCTCCGCAGCGGCAAAAACTTTTTTCCGCGAATATACTAAAGTACAAATAAAATAAAAATCAGAACAGAAACATGAAATCAGAACAAAGATCGGAAAAAAACAAACAAAGATCAGGCACTCAACAGTTGGTACTCAACTGGACTCCAAACTTTATCTATGTTTTACCCAATTTTAGACGTGTCTATACTTTAATGGATTCTACCCCTATCTATCCTTTGGCGCATCTATCCTTTGATGCATCTATCCTTTAATCGTTTTTTGCCTTATCTATCCTTTAGCAGCTTTTGGCCGCGTCTATCCTTTGATCGATTTTAGCCGTATCTATCCTTTCATTCATCTATCCTTTGAGCGGGCACGATTTCTACTCTCTATATTTTATATTGGAAACGATAATTACACTCTGTCAGAAAATTATAAACACCACCTAGTTTTTGAAAAAACATAGGTAAAGTTAAAATATCATAGTTTTAAATATTTTTAGGATTTTCTGATGCATATTGAACTGAAAAAACAATAATTGATAAAATAAATATGGATAGTAGAGAAATTCTATTTCCAATAGGTTCTATTTCCTATTCCAAG